GTTCCTGGAATGTCACTTCTGGCCGAAGCAGAATCCCCCAGCCCTGCAAGACTGTTTTCAGTCGGCAGTGCTGGCTGTGTGTGGTTGATCTGGAAACTGTCATCCCCGGGAACCTTGTAAACAGCAACTCATTTTCATTTTCCAAACTCCAGGTGGTTTCATGGGCACCTCTCTGGGAAAGAAGCCGAGAAGTTATTAACAGAGAAAGGAAAACATGGGAGCTTTCTTGTGCGTGAGAGCCAGAGCCACCCCGGAGATTGCGTTCTGTCCGTCCGCACTGGTGATGACAAAGGAGAGAGTAGTGACGGCAAGTCCAAAGTCACCCACGTCATGATCCGCTGCCAGGTAAAGCCCCAGCCACGCCCCGGGCCCACCACAGCGCCCTCTTGGGGTGATTTCTCTGCTGAGAGGAGCAGCACACACCAGTGTGTCCAGAGTCCAAGTTTTCCTGTGCTCCCTTAGTCCAGGGCCCCTGCCTGTGTATTAGGAGACTTTCAGCATTTCCCAGCATCATTAATTTACTTAGTTGTAGTCAGTCATGTCTCAGGGCATCTGCATCTGTGTGATCGCTGCTGGTGTTTCGAAAGCTCTGGCTCCGGCTCCTCTGTGGGGTTGTCACAGTCTGGCCTGTGTGACCCTGTTTGCCTTCTTGCCGCAGAATGGTCTCTTCAAGGTCAGGAGAGTCAGCGCAGTCTTTTCGTGTTTGCAGTGTGGTGGCTGAGCACGGAGGTCACACCTTTGTTTTGACATCGTTTCCGAAACAGAAACTGCCTGTGCATTTAGTACTTCTGTTATTTTGCTTAATCATTTTTAGATAATAGTTTCATTGGGATGGAATTTGCATGATTCGTTGTTTAGAAGTAGCCAGTGGATTCAGTGGTTTTCAGAATATTCACTGAATTATACAGCTGTCAATATGAACTAATTCCCAAACAGTATCATCAACCCCACCAAAGAAATCTTAATTCACATTAATCACCCCCCCTCCACACACACACACACATCCACACACATCCCTTCCCTTCCAGTCCCTGGCAACTGTGAATTTACTTTCCAACTCTATGGGTTTGCCACTTCTGGGCATCTGATAGTCATACAGTCTGTCTTCACGTACCACCACGTCTCCTCAGCTCCTCTGTGTTGTAGTATGTGTTAGTATGTCCTTTCTGGCGCACAGTTTAATTTCCAGAATCCTGTAAAGGTTCGTTTTCCCAGGGCTTGTCATTATTCTTGCTTTTAGGGAGAGATGGATTTCCAGCGGTGCTTACTCTGTCGTTCAGGGAGTGCGCCTCACCTCTCCAGTTCTCTTTTTGAAGGATAGCCCCCAAATGTCTTCATAGGGCGATTGT